GGGGTCAGGGCTGGGGGGGGTCGGGTGGGCGTCCACAGGTCAAACCTTAGGGGTCACAGGGTCAGACTAAATGAACTCCAGGCTTTGAATTGTTACCATGACAACGACACATAAGTCCTACAACTCTCCTCGTCTGTTCTAGAACGTCCTGAGTAAAATGGATGACTCTGGAGCTGACCTCTGACCTGACCTCTGACCTGCTGGTGTAAGAACCGTGGTTAAATGACCACGGCCAGGAAATGTCAACATTTCACTGACGGCCAACGGATGTGGCAAAACAGAAGTGTTTTCAACCACAACCACAACGATGATGACAACAACAACGACAACGACAACGACGACAACAACGACGATAACAACCACAACGATGACAACAACAACGACAACAAGGACAGGGACAGCAGGATTGCTGGTGCTCGGCCCCACCCGTATGTAGTTGGCGTTGATGTAGGAGCTCAGCCGGTCGGTGCAGCTCTTTGACTTCAGGACGACTCTGGAGTGTAGATCTAGAACACACAGAAAGGTGACAAGGAGACGGATGAGGGTTGGTCTGAGAGACTGAAGTCCAGGGAACATTCCTCAACTGTGATTGGACAAAAGGAAGGAAGGAAGGAACAGCACCACACCCTCTATTCACCGTCCTATTGACAATCCACCGCCGTCTCCAAAACACAAGTGCTCAAGTGTGTGTGTGTGTGTGTGTGTGTGTGTGTGTGTGTTATATAATGGCTTTATCAGGTTCAGTGATTGGACAGGAGTGTGAGAACAAACGGTTCCCTTATTGTTTCAGTCTGTGTGTGTGTGTGTGTGTGTGGGTGTGTGTTATATAATGGTTTTATCAGGTTCAGTGATTGGCCAGGAGTGTGAGAACAAACGGTGCCCTTATTGTTTCAGTCTGTGTGTGTGTGTGTGTGTGTTATATAATGGCTTTATCAGGTTCAGTGAGTGGACAGGAGTGTGAGAACAAACGGTGCCCTTATTGTTTCAGTCTGTGTGTGTGTGTGTGTGTGTGACCTTTGACATTAACTCCTCCCACTCCCAGTCCTCAACAGGAAGTGAGGATGAAGACATGCTGGTACTTTAGTCCCAGTCAATCGGTACCACCAGAACCAGAACCCAGACACATGGACAACAGGGACTCACTGGGAAGAATGGTCTTGTATCGGTTCTTGGTTCCGTGGTTTGGAACGTCCAGGTCTTTGGGATCAGTGAAATTCATGGGAATCTCCTGAAAAGACAACAAACCAGAAAACCCTTTTTAACCTTTGACCTTTGACCTCTGTGGAACCTGACTTTCTGTGCTAGCATACTCACAGTGAACTGTGCGTGCAGCGCGTGCGTGTTGTTGACCACGCCCCTCAGCTGTGGTCTGGTCAGAGGCCGCCCTGCAGATGTCAGGTATTCCCTTGTGGCTGACCCTCGGGGGGTCGAGATGGGGGGGTCCAGAGGGTCCAGGGAGCCCAGGGCCGACATGTCCAAGACCAGAGAGACGTTTGAGCCGCGTCTGAGGACAGAACTCAGGTTAGCCTGCGCTATCCAGTTAGCCTTGAGGTCATGTTCTTCTCACACTGCCACCTACTGGCCTTTCCTTTGTCTGCGTTTCAGAAACACCTATCAAAGCTGTGGCTGTGCAACACGTGGTGGACAGTTAGAGTTAGGGTTAGGGTCAAAGGTCATCTTCTTCTTGACAACGCTAGAAGACCTGCTGCAAATCAGTTCTCACAATGATCTTCCAAAAGTAGCCACTAGAGGGGGTGCAGTCGGCACAGAAATGGCAGCCTACCAAGGCAACATGGGCTTTTTGAATGTGGGTTGTACTGGACTATAGACCACCCTGGTCCAGGTCTGTGGGTCTGGTCCACATGGAGCTTCAGAGTGAGCGAAATATAGCAAATAACTGGGAATATAAGTAAATATAGGAAATATATACTGTAGCTGTATACTACTATATTCACCCAGTAGTACACACTACTACAATTACTGCTAAAATATTCAACATTGGAAGATTTTTCTGTAGTGTTTGTCACATCTACCTAATGAAGTGACCACACAGGTCAAAGGTCAGGGCTACACACCGTACGTCCCACCAAACTGATCCAATCTTAACATCATCACTACCGAATGCAGTCAAGAAATAATGGGGTGTTAACCCCGTGTGACCCCTGCCCCCCCCACAGTCACATGACCATACCTCTCCTGCAGTCCTGCAGCAGCTTTCATCCTGAAGGGGGAGGGGCAGGGTTTTAACTCCTGACTGGCACTGAGCGGGGCAACAGCAGCGAGGGCGGTGTCGTGGTCTCCGGCGTTCACACCAGTGGCGGGGGCGGAGCTACAGGGAGAGGAACCGCCACGGTCAGGTGGTTTTGTTTCGCGATCTGAAACTTTTCACTTTCACGAGACTGTAGCTACAATCACCTGGGTACGATGGGCGGAGCCAGGCCACCACAGGCCATGATTGGCTGGGAGTGGAGGGTGGGCGTGGCCACGGTTGGCGGGAGCTCAGCTCGGACCATGCTGCCTGGACAGACGACCTGGAGGACAAGGTGAAAAGACAAGGTCCTGGAACTGTGATGTGAAAACCACTGCTCCACCGGCCGTCAGTCGGCCCACAGCCACGTACCCTGGTGCCCCGTGGGCTGGGGGCAGACTTTGGAGGGAGGGTGAGGGTCAGGTGGAGATCACGGGGCGGGGCCTTTAACTGCCCGTCGGAAATGTGAGCCTTCTCCTTGAGCCGATACAAAACCTGAAAAATAAAATCAAATTCAAAATTCTTCATCTTCATCAACTTAAAATGATTCAATTTAATTATATTTTATAACAAAATCATTTTTCCAAACCATATTCACCAGTTTCATCCAAAACAGTTACAGTAAAAAGTCATGAAAATTCACTGGTTCCAGATGTTTCTGAGCAAGAAAATGTTTTTCACCTAAGGTCAAAGGTCAACGTGTGTGTGTGTGTGTGTGAGTGTGTGTGTGTGTGTGAGTGTGTGTGTGTGTGTGAGTGTGTGTGTGTGTGTGAGTGTGTGTGTGTGTGTGAGTGTGTGTGTGTGTGTGAGTGTGTGTGTGTGTGTGAGTGTGTGTGTGTGTGTGAGTGTGTGTGTGTGTGTGAGTGTGTGTGTGTGTGTGAGTGTGTGTGTGTGTGTGAGTGTGTGTGTGTGTGTGAGTGTGTGTGTGTGTGTGAGTGTGTGTGTGTGTGTGAGTGTGTGTGTGTGTGTGAGTGTGTGTGTGTGTGTGAGTGTGTGTGTGTGTGTGAGTGTGTGTGTGTGTGTGAGTGTGTGTGTGTGTGTGAGTGTGTGTGTGTGTGTGAGTGTGTGTGTGTGTGTGAGTGTGTGTGTGTGTGTGAGTGTGTGTGTGTGTGTGAGTGTGTGTGTGTGTGTGAGTGTGTGTGTGTGTGTGAGTGTGTGTGTGTGTGTGAGTGTGTGTGTGTGTGTGAGTGTGTGTGTGTGTGTGAGTGTGTGTGTGTGTGTGAGTGTGTGTGTGTGTGTGAGTGTGTGTGTGTGTGTGAGTGTGTGTGTGTGTGTGAGTGTGTGTGTGTGTGTGAGTGTGTGTGTGTGTGTGTTACCATCAAGCAGGTGACAACGATGACAAAGACAGTGAAGAAGAACAGCAGGGTATAAAGGCCTTCTCTGCTCCACACCTGGTCATTTGGCTCCCCCTGGAGGACGTTTTTCTGTACAGACAGTGTTGGGTCACGTGTTCACACCTGCCTGTGTTGATTGGTTATCAATCACTTCAAGAGTCGTCTGCTTCAACACACACACACCTCAGTGGAAACCTCTGTGATGCCAAAGTGTCCCAGGTGGTGGTGAAGGACCCTGACGTCCAGTGACTGGATGACCTCATCAGCAGGGCGGGGCGCCGCCACGCCCAGCCTATCAGAGGACACGAAGAGCTCGACGCTGTTCTTCTCCTCCTGAGAGACACGGTCGACCAAAGGTTAATGAAGGACAGAGAGGTGTGTGTGTGTGTGTGTGTGTGTGTCTCACGTTCAGTCGGTTGATGTGGACACGTCCTGCTGGGATGCCCAGCGCTGCAGCGACACCATCTCGAAACCAACGAAGAAGACTGACGTTGAGTCTCCGCACATCCACAGCCAGGTACTGAGAAAGACACACGACAGCTGCTCTACTGCGCCACCATGTGGTCATTTTGTAAACAAAGAAACTGAGGGTTTCTTCACAGAGTCTGTTACCATGGTAACTGAGCCAGAGTTTCAGTTCCCGCTCTTTCTGAAACGGACAACTCAGAGTTGACTTATTTCACCCGCTTTCTGGAATAACTCCTGAATACCCCCCCCCCCCA